CACACATATATATATATATATATATTCATTAAGAACTTTGATTCGAAAAAAATCTGATATATGAACCAGTTCAACTGATTCCGTTAAAAGAATCAATTCAACAGAACAATTCTTTTGACTTTAGCTCACTGGGTGAAGTTGTATATCCTTTATATACCCAGAGGGGTAATGATTTGGTCTTATGCTAAATGCTAAAAGCTAAATATGAATGTCATTGAGATTCCTGGACTGTGCATCTAGCAAACGATCCCACAATCACTTGTTTGCTCGGATCATAAAGTTAATTGTAAACACCAAAAAAAGTGGCAAGTAAACCTGATTAAACCGAAACAAATTAGCGTTCCCACAGAAGCTGCAACATTTGAGGAATTAGAGCATATGAGAAGGATTTAAAGATCAGTAGGTCTTATTAAAAGCTCTGCTGAAATCCCACTTACACAATGATGTGGCTACGCTTCAGTTTTTCACTCTTACTTTGCTCCGTATGCCAATTTTCCTGCTTGTGGTTGTGTATTTAGTGTAGTGTGTAGTATCTATAATAATACTAAACTTTATACTCATGTCATTATTGAGTTGAGCTCAAGAATAGGGTTCAGTGACTGTCCCGAGCACCTAATAAACCACTTTCCACTCCAGGCGTCAGATTGCACGTGACCTTTGACCCCAGGAAGTGTTTGTGGGAGTCTGCAGCTGTCAGACCGACACCTCGTTTCCTCTTTGACTGATTACTTCTGTGAAACCAGCTTCTGTGTTATGTTAAATATGAATTTAATTAAATTAGAAAGGATACGTGTTTGTGACCCGTTAAAAAATACTAACATTTGTTTCCCGGGGATTAATTTTACATGCGCAAAAAGCAATCAACAGAACATGAGGATTCACATGGTCATATATCACATCCGAGCGGCAACCTCCCGCTCTCTCTCGTGAAGCCAACAAGGAAGTGACTTAAACTGTAATTTGCTTCTCACAAAGAGTATTTCTTTACACTGTTTTGCTGGAGCTTGAACACACTTTCCTGTTTATCACACCAAATGGCCAAGCCATTATTTAAATGTAATTATATATTTAAAATATATAATTTGTAATGCTTTTTTGTATTACAGTCATGAGGGAAAATATACTTGATTATTATATCACAATGCAAAAAATATAGGGATCATTTTCACATCAGTATCTGTCCTCTTTCTTTTAATTTTGGGGGAGAAATATGACCACAAACTTTTTTGAAGATTCATTCATCTTGTACTGAATCAACACTTGATGAACATCTGTTAAATACACCTCGATCTCTATTTCCCGTTTGTGTTCCACTAGGGATGAATCAACTTTATTTAGTTTGAAATCAGATGCAGGGTTGATGCGCTGCCAGAAATCCGATTGTCAAATGCTGATCCAACATTTATGTGCACATGGCAGTCTGGCTTGCTCGAGGTGTGTGAGCGGTTATTATAAACCCACAGATTATAATGCATTCGGCTCGTGTTTAACATATATTAATCACTAGAAGATAACATAACAAATCCAAGCAGGTTACACGACCACCTGGCCTTTAAACAAGGCCTGATGAACAAGTAAAGGTAAAAGGGAAGGTTAAAACACAAGTGACAGAAACGCTGTTCTGTGCAAGGCAAGATTAAACATGCTTGCTCTTTCTAGACAAAGTCTGCTTGATTCTGGTTTCGTATTTTGACTTTGTATTCAAAAATACTTTGTGTCTGACTTTCCCTTTCTGTCTGTTTTTGTGTTTTTCAGAATGGAGGATGAAGCCATAGTGGACAGAGGAGCGTCTTACATCAAAAATGTGTGTGATGAAGAGGTCGAGGGTACGAAACACACACACACACACACTCTCTTAAATATATAGTGGGATATTGGATCTCCTGTGTCTCAGTGACGACTGCGGAGTCTTAGTTACTGTGGATTAAGTTTCACGCTCACTTTCACTCACTCCTGTCTCTCTCTTCTCTCGGCCAGCTGTTTTTTTTATTTTTTTATTCTTGTTTTGGTAGTAATTTGTTCTTAAGGGCAGGAGAGGATTATGAGCGCTGCAGATGTAACAAACTAAAGCTCTATACACGTGAAGATGTTTACTGTCTTAATCCACACACACACACACACACACACACACTTAATCTGTTTCTACATTCAGGAGAAACTGACTAAATGTGCACCACTTCAGCGCATTGTATTTTAGTGCAATATATACTGCCGCCAAACCATCTTAGCTGCATCGTGTGCATATTTAATTGCATTTTATGATAAAAGTATAAAATGATGATCATAATAATAATAATTAGTGTAGTAAATAAATTGATGCATTTACAAAGATGATCAGTCTAAATGTATTTTTCTAGTGCAAGACGTATGAAATCTATATAACGCACACCAGATATTTGATTTATATTTATTGAATGTTAAGAAATAAAATATTTTTGACAAAACCTATGAAAAATACCATGATGAATCAAAATATGTAGTTCTTTACTATATATAAATATTATAGAATGTATATATAACATTATAAAATAAGAAAAAAGTATAAAAATATGCATATAAAATGTATATAATACACACTAGATATTTGATATAATAATTGATAGAAATATAATATAATATAAAAATTAAATACATCTATTTGAATATAACAATAATGATTTATTTATGTATTCATTCATTCATTCCTTCATTCATTCCTTTTATTGATCTCATTTATGTTTTTTGGGAAACTGACATTTTGAGAAGTACATTAAATATTTGATTAAATATTTTAAAAATCACACTCCGTTGATCAATTTAGCTGTTTTTTATTCAAGGGTTAATTTAAAATATCGTCATGCCTCTTTCCATGCAAATGAAGCTCATCACAGAAATGCATGCAATTTGTGGAATACTAATTTAATAATTAATGTAATCATTTTAATGTATTTATTGAATATAATACTGACAGTGTGGGCCACATTCAGGTTTGCAGCCTCATTGTTTTTGGCCATGTTTGCAGCCCAAATAATTCCTAAAATAAATCATGTGCTGAAACAACACAGGCAGTGTGTGCAAATAAATGACTGGACACAGCTGAGTGAGTGAATTCCCCTCTCAGATGTAGAATGTACAAATACTGCAGGTTCAGACGTCTAAAAATATCTGCACATCAAAAGCAGAACAAACACATTCGCAAACACTTACGTTCTTTCTATATTTGCTTCTCCCTCTCCCGTCCTCACTGAACTTTGGACCTTCACATGATGGTCACACACACACACACACACACACACACACACACACACAAACACAAACACAAAC